GATTACAATTTAAAATGTGTAATTAAGCAATTTATTAGTATATTTAATAGAACTTAAAGATTCATATTCCAAATACATAAAAATTTACACTATTGGGTTTATAGATTATAGAAGTACTTGGGAAATCTTGTTTTTATTAGACAAATTAAAACACTTAAAAATTAAAATGGAATATATTGAATGTATGAAGAAAGTTAAAATGATTACAATATTAAGTACTTAAAAATCTTAATTGTTGGGATCCCTGGGTGGCGCAGTGGTTTAGCGCCTGCCTTTGGCCCAGGGCGCGATCCTGGAGATCCGGGATCGAATCCCACGTCGGGCTTCCGGTGCATGGAGCCTGCTTCTCCCTCTGCCTGTGTCTCTGCCTCTCTCTCTCTGTGTGTGACTATCATAAATAAATAAAAATTAAAAAAAAAAATCTTAATTGTTGAAATGTATGGATTTATAAATAATGTAAGATGTAAAAATTTAATTCTAAGAAAGAACTACATCTTTAATTTGCAAATTCAATAAAATAAACACTGAAGTGAAAGCCAAAGTGGCCCCTGGAATAATCTTTTTACAAAACGTTAAATTCAGGGGATCCCTGGGTGGCTCAGTGGTTTAGCGCTGCTTTCAGCCCAGGGTGTGATCCTGGAGACCTGGGATTGAGTCCCACATTGAGCTCCCTGCATGGAGCCTGCTTCTCCCTCTGCTTGTGCTCTGCCCCTCTCTCTGTCTCTCATGAGTAAATAAAATCTTTAAAAAAATAAAAAATAATAATAATAATAAAAAGAGCTATGTAAGTGTGAGCTCTTAAAAAAAGAAAAGTTAACTTAAGGACACCAAAAAACTCACATTAACTTTTTATTAGTGATATTAATCTTGTCTTTTCATAGGACACATTGTTAGGTTCCCTAACATATTGTTAAGAAGATGAAGGTTAACATTCTCTTTCTCTCATTTATTTTGAAACCTGACCTTCAGTTTCCTTCAAAATCTCTATTTCTGGGCTTTCAGTGTGAACATGGCTATTTAAGTCACATACTTGCTGTTTTAATCCTAAAAATAATACAAAAGCAATAGGAGAATAAAACCAACCCTGCAAATTCCATTTTCAGTGACACTATGAGATAAAAAATCTGCATACTCCAAAATACATGTAAAGCCTTCAAAATCAATTGAGTTTGGCAGTACCCTCAGGAAAGAAAATGAAGAAGTGGAATGAATTTCAAAAGAGCCCAGTGGGGGCAGATCTTAGAATGTTCCAGCAATAACACCATCCTGATGCTGAGAGGCTCACTCTGAAGTACAAATACTGTATCCCTCATCTTTAACAATGAATGAAGAAGCTGGGATGAATAGGTGGTAGAAGCCTAACTGGAGCCAGGCTGATTGGGGAGCAGAATAGTTCAGAGTATAAAAAGAATCAATAGCCACTGTATTTATATGGAGAAAGTGTCTCTGAGGTTACAGTGGAAGAGTGAAGAGGGTTTTCAGTATTCAACACAGGAAGTTATTGGGATAGAACATTCAAAGTAACATGGCAAGAAAGCATGTAAACCAAATATTTTAATCCAATCATGTTGTCTTTCAAGCCTAAAAGCAGAAGATAGTTTAACATGGAATAATTCAAGAAATGTTATGGCTGTCAAACTTTCTTAAAGAAACTTCCAGAAGATAAATTTTAACCACCCAACATGTGATTGAGGGAACTATTACAAATTGACTAGCAAGGAACATTGAATATATTCAACTCTAAAACTGAAACTAAAAGAAATAAGTAGGTTAGAATTGTAGATAAGGATAAAAATAGTAAATACTCTGAAAATGATAGAACTCTAAAAAAATTAAGAAGAGGAGGGGGGAGATAAATTCTGGAGTAAGTTCAGTGATTATCTTATCTATGTTCACTAGGAGTTGACACATTATTTAAGGCTAACAGATCAAATAATGAAATTATAAGCATTTAAATAGCAAGTATCCTAAAAACACTGACTAGTATCAGAAGTAGAGAAGGGATGGGAAAGGAAAAAAAAAAGAAATTCATTATTCCTCATTTTAATATAATTATCAAACAAGAAAAAGTAACTATGATGTGTACTTAAAACAAAAGGGATGAGATGAGTATCTGAAATGAGATAATAGAAATAGGTGGTCAACTTCATTAGTTATGAGAGAAATGCAAATTTAAATAAGTATGCACTGGGGCTACATATACCCACAATAATGGTTAAAATGAAAAAAAGGAGGCAATACCTAATATCAGATGTGGAGTAACTGGAACTTTCATCACTGTTGATGGGAATGTAAACAGGTTACAGCCACTCTGGTAAAACTAGCAGTATATGCTAATGTTCACATAAGCACATCTACGATTCAGCAGTGGCACTCCTGGATGCATATACCCAAGAGAGATGCATACTCTGTTCACCAGGTGAAACGTAGAAGAATGTTTACAGTAGCACTGTTCAAGACCAAATCTGGAAACTACTCAAACATTCATGACCCATGGAATGAATGGATAAATGGTATATTCCTGCAACACTATACTATACAGCAAGTAGAATGAACAAGTTCCAAATAGATACAAAATGACAAGTCTTACAGATATAAGGTTGGGCCAAGAAAAACCCAGATAAAAAAGTACAAACTGTATTTTTCTATGTATATAAAATACAAAATAGGCAAATCTAATTTACAGCCTTAGAAGGATAACCTTGACAGAGTGGTGACTGCAATGGGACATACCAGGGGCTCCTGGGGTGTCATTTATATTGTGATTCTTTTTTTTTTTTTTTTTAGATTTTATTTATTTATTCATTAGAGACACAGAAAGAGAGAGGCAGAGACACAGGCAGAGGGAGAAGGAGGCTCCCAGTGGGGAGCCTGATGAGAAACTTGATCCCAGGACACCAGGATCACAGCATGAGCAAAAGGCAGATGCTCAGCCACTGAGCTACCCAAGTGTCCCTCATATTGTGATGCTCGATTGAATGATAATTATATGGGAGTGTGTTCACTTAAAAATTCATCAGGCTTAGGATTTTGTACTTTTCTGTGTGTACGTTACACTTCACTAACAAGTATAACAACAAAAATAGAAGGAATTGATGCAGCAAATTGATTACCCAGGTGATAGAGGAATTAAAATCTAAACAAAGGTTGGCAACTCAGAGATCAGCAACAACATAAAGCAACTACCTCTCCAAGACTAGAGGGGCAAAGATGATCTTATCAGAGTCCAGCTAAGAATTACAGTCAGGCTCCTTTGAGCTCTCGTTGCCCCTTTACTCTGCTCATGTCTGGCTAGCTGAGTCAAGAATCCTATCAAGTCAGTTCACTGAGACCCCCACCCCCTCTTGATATCTGATCAAATACCTCATTCTTCACCTTTGATATCTAAATCTTTGGTCTGACTTTAGCAAAATCCTGTCAGGCCAGTTGAGCAAGAATTACCCCTACTCTTGATTCTAATCAAGTTCCTTTTAGTACTTTTCCATTCACTGACCCCTTCACCCTGCTTGTTGTCCAAAAATTCCCAGATATCTTTGCTGTGCTTGGAGTTGAGCTCAGTTCTACATCAAAGTCTCTCTCCCCTACTGCAGTAGCTTGAATAAAATGTGCCCTGCTATTTTAAATAAGTGTTTGACATATAATTTTTCTTTTACTCTATGGCCTAGTGTCATCCTATAGAAGTAGAAACTGTAGCAGCAATGTTTGAAGACCCCAAAATAAAGCCACTACCACAGCTGCTGCAGTGGTTAGAGTAAGCTGTAAGAGGGGGAAAAGTCTTTCTTGTATCCATCTTAGGTCTTCTATCTGGGCTTCCTCCATTTAAAAAAAAAAAGATTTTATTTTTAATATTTAAAAAATTATTTTACTTTTTAAAAGGTTTTATTTATTTATTTGAGAGAGAGAGTGCACATGAGTGAGAGGTGGAGTAGAGGTAGAGGGAGAGTCACAGAGAGAAGCAGACTCCCCTCTGAGCAGGGATCCTGACTCAGAGCTTGATCCCAGGACCCTGAGATCGTGACCTGAGTGGAAGGCAGACACTTAACTGACTGAACCACAAGGGTACCCTTTAAAGATTTTATTTTTAAGTAATCTCTACACCCAACATGGGCCTCAAATTTACAACTTTGAGATCAAGAGTCACATGATCTATGAACTAACCAAGCCAGGCACCCCCAGCTGGGGCCCTTTAAATCAGACTGGCCAAAGAGCAATACAAGAAAAACAAACAAAAGTTTATTAGCATGTGCAATGGTGCTTACACATGGGAGTATCTAGAGATGATTAACTCAACAGAGTGGCTAGAACTTGGGTTTAAGTACCAATAAAAAAAAAAGGAGATTTGGGATTCTGGGCAGGAGAGACAATTTATGGAAAGGTGAGCAGGGAAAGTCTGGTAATAAGAGTCCTTTAGTAAAATTTGTTATGCAGATTTAAGTCCATGCCTTCATCATTGACCAGACTTGTGAGTTTTCCTCTTCTTGGTATGGAAGACGAGAGAGCCTTACAAATGAAAAATGACTTTATAATTGTAAATTTCCTTTACAAAAGAAAAACTTGTGCCTTGTTTTTAGAGCTTTTCTTGTGCCTGTTTGTTTCCAGTGGCCTTTAGCTTTACATAACTCATAAGCCAAAGAGGCATATTTTGGGGAAGGATATTCTGGTACCCTGAACAAGACAGGAAACACACTCAAGGTTCCTCCCTTTTTTGTTCATTTTCTGACCTCCAGTTTCCTGCCAGTATCTTCTATTGGCTGAATCCAGAAGGAAAGTAGCTCACACGGGTCTAATAACACATTAATTTCATTTTAGCTTTCTTATCTATTCTTTCAGCCTATTGTTCATCTCTTTTCCTTCTCTGTTACCAATTCTACCCAGGTACATGCCACTTCCTTGCCTGAAAAACCAAATTCTTTCTTCTCAGAAAGTTAAAGAGTGGAGATATCAGAAGATTTGTCCAAAATGTTGAAGAAAACTTTCACTATTAAGAAAAAAGGCCTTCTGCGGCCATCGCTGGGGCGCTCGCAGCCAACATGAAGTTCAATCCGTTTGTGACTTCTGACCGGAGCAAGAATCGTAAGCGGCATTTCAATGCGCCTTCCCACATTCGCAGGAAGATCATGTCTTCCCCGCTTTCCAAAGAGTTGAGGCAGAAGTACAACGTGCGGTCCATGCCCATCCGGAAGGATGACGAAGTGCAAGTTGTGCGGGGACATTACAAAGGTCAGCAAATCGGCAAAGTAGTCCAGGTTTACAGGAAGAAGTATGTCATCTACATTGAACGAGTACAACGAGAGAAGGCAAATGGCACAACTGTCCACGTGGGCATTCACCCTAGCAAGGTGGTTATCACTAGACTAAAACTGGACAAAGACCGCAAAAAGATCCTTGAGCGTAAAGCCAAATCTCGCCAAGTAGGAAAGGAAAAGGGCAAATATAAGGAAGAAACCATTGAGAAGATGCAGGAGTAAAGTAACCTTATATGTGACTTTAAATAAAAACTTAAAATGAAAAAAAAAAAAAAAAAGAAAAAAGAAAGCCTGTTTTTGAAGGTCAATAGCATCAAGTAGGAAGATGACAGGAAGAAATTTGAATTCAAATTCTGTTTTACTTGTGTTTTCTTTTTTTTTTTTTTATTTTATTTTTTTTTTTATTTTATTTTTTTTTATTTTTATTTATTTTTATTTTTTACTTGTGTTTTCTATGAAGAATGTTTATAGATGTAAAATGGTAGGAGAAAAGTGAAATTGAAAATGGGTAAAGATATTATAAGAGAGAATCTTTACTGATCTAAAATGAGTTTTTAAACCTCACTGAACTCTATTCTGAGTGCTTAAAAAACGTGTAAGTTGACAAGAAGATCTAAGATGGGAAATGTTTAAATGTTCACAGTTAAGAAGATGTGTTCTGTGTGTTGTGTATTACTTAGCAGCATTTCAATTAACCTCAAACAAGATTTGAGAACAGTTTATTTAAAAAGTTATTAAACAAGAAAGTACTAGTCATTAAGATCAAATATGAGATGCCTAAAAACATAGATTAGCTTCATATAATGCTTTATTTTGTTTTTGACCAATTTATAGGCATGGTTATAGAGAAATGAGGATTTGCTTGTGGACTTGACCTTGATTTCAGCAAGGAATTCCTTCTTTTCTTGTGAATAACTTACAGTAATATTTGAATGCTGATACATTTAGCCAGGCTAGTAATTGATTAATCAACTGTACCCCAGAATTTACCAATTAGTGATGGATATCAACTTAGAGATTTTTATTAGCATAAAGCCAGATTACTTCCTGGGACTTATAATTGGAATTTCCTTTTAAAATCAACTCTTAGATTGGGGCACCTGGGTGGCTCAGGGATTGTCTGCCTTTGGCTCAGGTGGTGATCCTAGGATCCCAGGACTGAGTCCCATATTGGGCTCTCCACAGGGAGCCTGCTTCTCCCTCTGCTTATGTCTCTGTCTCTCTCTGTGTCTCTCATGAATGAATAAATAAAATCTTTTTTAAAAAAAATCAATGCCTGGATAAATAGTTGATACTATCTACTATTTGGATGATACCCAGTAGTTGGGTCTAGATCTCTTTATGCTGTGGGATAGAGAGCTTGTGGGGGCTTTTGGGAATAGTGCTTGACTGATACTGACCCTACAGGTGAAGGTAGGAGTGCTGACAACACGGACTCCATCTTTGGTCCTCCATCTCATTCATGAACTCCCTGGGACCTATGTGTTCCAGGCCCCATGGAGTTTAATGTCTGCTCTGACCAGGATGTGGGAAGACTTGTTCTCATCTTACCTAACGTAGCATTGGGAAGACTTGTTCTCATCTTACCTAAAGTAGCATACAGAAACTTCCACTTTAAATGACTATAAAGATGACCAGTGCACAGGAGGCCCCACTTTCGATAACTATCCCAGGACCTTACCACCATTCCCCTTGCTCTGTAAAAGCTGTGGCTTGCAGCCTAGCTGAGGCAGAGAATAGCTGTGGAGAACGGGGAGTGGTCACATGGCTCCAGGATTCTCCATCCATCCAAACCCCCCTGTCAGTAAGTTGCCCTGAATAAAACTCTGTGTAAATGGTATAGAATGACTTGCTTTGTTTTTCAGTCTTAAGATGTCTTCTAGTCTGGAGAATACTTTACTGACTGGACTCCTGTACCTTCTAACAGTGTGTTGGCCTGCTTATTGGTTTCACAGGTGTGGGACAGGTATAGAGTCAGCTTGTCTGGACTTCTCTGCAGCTACTTGGAGTATATTGGTCTGCCTGCCTGTGTCCCAGTTGTGGACTGGGGCTGGAAGAGCCTAGTGCTTTCGTATGGTTGCTGGATGCAGGCTAATTTGACTCTGTGGTTCTCTGGTTTTGGAAAAGAAGTGTGATTGTCCATGGGGCTTTGCTGCTGCTGCTGCTGTAAGTAGATTGGACTGGTTGCCATCTGCTGCTGGTGCCTAATTGTGGAGCAGGGAGTGACATGGCTGGGGCTTTTCTACTACTGGCCTGGGCTGAGTGGACCACCCACCACTATTTGCTGCTGGAGCAGAGAATGGGGCTCCACCAGGTGTCTGTTGGGCTTTGCCTTTCCTGTTCTTCTGGAGCTTTTTAGAGGCAATGCCTACTGGTGCTTCCGGGTTTTAGGTCTCTCTGATGCTTAGTGTATGTGAGATTAAAACAATAGAACAGTGAATTTACTATGCTTTCATTCCTCAAGTCTGGTCCTCCTTATTCAGTCTACCTTGTACAAAGCTTCCAATGTTTTTATCATTGTATAATTTCCAGGTAATTAGTTGTATTTAAAGAAGAACACAAGTGAATCTACACCATCTTATTCTGGAACCAGAAATACAAGTCTTATTTTTAACATATGTGGAAATATTTTAAACAAAATGTTAGATCAAATCCTGCAATATATAAATTATATGTTGAGTACAATCCCAAGAATGTTGTATTGTTTTAATATTAGAAAATCAATTGACGTAACTCACATGTTAAAAAATTCAAAGAGAAAAATGATGATCTCATCAATATAGACAAGTTTGCTAACTTCACAAACTAGAACTTATTCTGAAAAAAAATCTATTAAAGAACCAATAACAATCATATTTAACAATTAAATATTGAAGATTTTTCCTTTGAAGTCAGGACAAAACAAAGAAGCATACTTTCAGTAGTTTTTATTAAAGTAACAGTTCTAGCCAGTGAAATGGGAAGAAAAAGAAATAGGAGGCATAGGGATAAGAGAATAAGACAGAATATTATTACTTTGAGGTAACTTAATTGCATATATGGAAAAGTTTTTAAATGTATCAAGAAAATATTAGGACTAATAACAGAGTTTATCAATATTGCTGAATACAAAATCAATACACAAAAATTAAGTGTATTTCTGTGTAATAGCAAAAATCAGAAAACAAAATTTGAGAAAGGATACCTTGTAATATATTGTATATACCACAATAAATCATGGATCTGGAAATAAATCTAACAAAAGATGTGCCAAAACTCCATGGGGATGATTATATAACTTTACTGAGGGACGTTAAAGAAACCTATTTGAATGAAGAGATATGTCATGTTCATGATCTAAAGTACTGAATATTGAGGATGCCTGGCTGGCTCAATCAGTAGAGCATGAGACTTTTGATCTCAGCGTTCTGAGTTTGAGCCCCACATTGAGTGTAGAGATTATTTAAAAAATAAACTTAAAAATAAATAAATAAATAAAATATTTAATATTGTAAAAAGTTAAATTTTTCCTAAATGGATCTACAGATTCATTTTTTTAAAATTTTTATTTATTTATTATAGTCACAGAGAGACAGAGAGAGAGGCAGAGACACAGGCAGAGGGAGAAGCAGGCTCCATGCACCGGGAGCCTGACGTGGGATTCGATCCCTGGTCTCCAGGATCGCGCCCTGGGCCAAAGGCAGGTGCCAAACCACTGCACCACCCAGGGATCCCAGATCTACAGATTCAATGCAATGTGTATATATATTGACAATCTAATTCTAAAATTTGTGCAAATGTAGGAGAGATAAGAACAGGTAAAGCTATTTTGAAGAAGAACAAAACTGGAAGTCTTATTCTGCCATCAGATGTCATTATTTATTATAAAACTATGGTCATTGTGATAGTGTGGTGTTACTGCAGTGGTAGAGAACTTAAACAATGAGACAGAACTGAAAACCCAGAAACAGATTCTTGCATATATAAACACTTGATTTATGAGAAACATCGCACTGCAGAATTGGTCTGTTAAATAAATAGTAGTGAAACAATTGGATATCCATAAAAAAAAAAAAGAAATAAAATTGAATCCCCACATGGCACCATACCAAAATTTAATTGTAGGAGGATTATCGACCCAAACATGACAAGCAAAACTGGAAAGCTTTTAGAAGGTTATATAAAAGCGAATCTTCATGACCTCAGCATTGGGAAAGTTTTCTTAAAGAAGAAACACTAAATGAATGTTAAAATTGATAAATTAAGCTACGTTAAAGTGAAGACCTTCTGATCATCAAAAACACAATAAAGATAGTAAAAAAAAGGGAGAGAGAGAGAAAGACAGAGACAGACAATTAGATAAAATACTTGAAGACTTATAACATAAAATAATCGTACCTTGAAGTACAATGGCCTCCTACGATATAACAATGGGAAAGCAACTCGGTTAAAAATGGGTTCACTATTTGGACAATTTTGTTTAGGAAAAAGAAATGCAAGTGACCAATGAACACACAAAAAGATGCTGCCTCATGATTAGAAAAATGCAAGTTAAAACCACGAAGAGAGGGGATCCCTGGGTGGCTCAGTGGTTTAGCGCCTGCCTTTGGCCCAGGGCGCGATCCTGGAGTCCCGGGATGGAGTCCCACATCCGGCTCCTGGCATGGAGCCTGCTTCTCCCTCCTTCTGTGTCTCTGCCTCTCTCTATGTCTATCATTAAAAAAAAAAAAAAAAAAACACGAAGAGATTCTTTTGTATACATACTAGATTGGAAACAAAAAATCTGGCAATGATATGTTGACTGAGAAGATGGAGCAGTTAGAACCTTTATATACTATTGATGGGAATGCAATTTTGAATAATCACTTTGGAAAACCATTTTGCATTACTAGTCAAGTTTAAGGTGCACACATCCCCTGACTCGGCAATTTCACTCTTGCATATGTACCCTGGAGAAATGTGTGCACATGTGTACCAGTATACATAAATAACAATATTCATGGTAGAATTCATAATAGCCCCTAAATTGGAAACAACCCAAATGCTTATCCATTCTATATTCATACAATAAAAATGAATTACAGCCACAGGAAATGTGAGTGAATCTTATAAACACAATGCTGACCAAAAGAAGCAAGACACAATTGAATACAAATACAAAGAGATTGTTTCCATTTATGTAAAATACAAAATCAGTTAACACTAAACCATGGGTTTTGTGATAGTTACTGTGGTAGGCAAAATAATGTCCCCTTCCCCCCAAAGATGTTCACAATCTAATCTTTTAATTTGT